ACAAACCTCACAGAATGTCGGAAAGCTTTTATTGAGAACTAAACGAAAATATTACTCGTGTAAATTTCATCTATTGACCACGCACGCATATGCAAAGTGAACAGCCGCCATCATGCAAATTCTGCCGTGATAACTAAACTACCATGATGCCTTGCGTTAGCGCAAGTTGTGAATTAAAGGCTAAAACTAAACATCAACTGCTTTCAAAAATTTGCCGCCGTGAATTCCGCTATTGCCGTCGTGAAACAGAAAATGACGGATTCACGACGGCAGTTTTTTGCCGCGGTGAAAAAAGCTGAATTTCAAGGGCTGATGGAGCGACACAGTTTTCAAAAAAATGGAAACCATTTAGATCGGTATTTTAATAAATTGTCAAAATAATTGAGTATACTAAAACAAATAATTTTATGAAATAAAAATTGGGGGTAGGCTGTTGCGGTATTTGAAAAAAAACGAAAACCGATACCGGAAAAAATACCGATAATACCGATATATCGATATTTTTCGCGATTGTATTTTGCTTAATTGTATGCAAAATTTGCTTAATTTTATGCAACATTTCCTGTTTTCAAATGATGCCAAACAGCCACGATATAACAGCTTTGACTCATCAGGTGCGTGATATTTTCAATAAAGTGTCAATGAAAAGTGAAAATGCATATTACTTAATTTAATATTAGCATTGATTACCGCACCGGATGAAACATGTGTGATATTTTTGTCCGGGAAATTGTTTCAAAACATTTTATTCAACTGCGAGTTCGAAACAATGTCCAATGAGGTTAGTTCTTGTTTTTCTAAAACATTTGTAATCCACCGTTGTTTACGAGCGAAATGACATATTACCGTACCTTGCAACGTACGCCAACGTCACGTATAAACAAACACGTTTTAGATCGCGCTTTAACCTTAATTGACGGATTTTCCCGCGCCAGTTAGCACATTGATCGTCTTTGTCCTTCTGAAATAACTTCAATCAGCGCTTGAAAAAGCTTGATATGACGTTTAAATATACAAACGTAAACGTGATATCGATAATACCGAAAAATATCGATATTCCGATATGAAAATTCCAATATCTAGTAATCGGTATTTATAAAAAAACGATTATTATCGGTATATCGATATGCCTCAACAGCCTAAATTTGGAGGTCACCGATGTCTTTTACAAGTTAAATTACTGTAATTAAATTCAACCACCCACAAGTTCAGCGAATCTACCAGCATTTTTGTCAATGTGGCCATAGTTAATAGAGATGTGGCATAGCTAAAAAGATTCGTGCAAAATTTTGGCAGTTCATGGTATAGTTCGGTTTTAAATTTTTTGCGATTTACTGACGCACGACCCACGACCCACGACGCACGACCCACGACGCAC